GTCATGGAAGTCGAAATCCGCTAAGGGGCCCCAGAAACCTATGCTTACAAACGGCAGGCTATCAAACCAACTCCCCACAAAGCAAGGTGGCCGCTGCAACGCCAAAATCCCGGCTGACACTGTGTGCAGTGCTCATGGTGGTGATCTTATCCAACGTGCCCAGGTACGGCACTGCAACTGAAATTATCAAAGGCGCACCTCTTGCCAGGGCCTTGACGAACCCCCCACGCCACAAGACTGCAACCAACCCACAAGCGAGAAGCCGAAGCGCATGTCGCTGGCAAGTCTTCTGTCCTCGTGGCTAACGCACTGTCAAGCAGCAGCTTGAACAGAAGCAACTGCCCTCCAACACTGAAGCCGCATGAGACGCTATGCCTCAGCTCCATGCTGCAGCCCATGTTCAGATACTCTGAAAGGTCTGTCATGCCAAGCATGCCAACCCGACGAATGTTCCCGGAACTGTGACCGCTATGTTTCAAGTGTTTTGTTTCGGGCGAACGATCTTACTCACTCGACTTAGTGAGGGTTGTTAATGCTCGCCTCTGCATGGGAGGATTGTCCCGAGCAAGGCCTGCAGATAAACGGCACGGCATGATCTTTCAGAAGCAGCCGGACCTGAGACGAGTCGAGTCGTGCAGCCGGACCTGAGAAGCGCAGTGAAAAATGCCTTGCAGCTCTTGTGGCGTGTTCTTCATGAAGGTGAACGTCAACGTGCTGGAAGTGACGCTCTACCCGCAAGCCAAGTACACACTTATGGTTCCAGCTATCTCCTTGAAGAGCCTTCGTCCAAGCTGAGGTCCCTCAGCACAAGCCTCCCGTGACGGAAGTGTGGACGCGTTCTCGAAGGTGGTGCACCACGTGGACCGCAAGGCCTTGCTCTGTCAGCCGCTCGCCAAAAACCCAACGAGCCAGCCGACAGTCGATCGTCTCCAAGTCCTTTAGGTGGGTCTGGACGAGGCAGGAGGCCGAACATTCGAGAGTTCGGTGGGACGTCGCCCATGCGTTGGCCACCCTAATCAATTGAGACAAGCAAGACCTAGAACGCAGGAGGGGCTAGCCGTCGAGCTTGGCAGGTTCGTGCAGATTCCAAGCTGTGCTGGAAGTTGCCAAGACTTGGCGACACAATGATAGCAGTCAACTTCATTGGCACTGGGGCTGGGCTCGTCCCGCACAGGCAGCCTCAAGTGATCTTCTGCTTGGGACTGCTGGCACTCACCTGCACGTGTGCCCAGTGGCCAGGTGCCTGCGATACCCAAACAATCTATCATCCGCCTTTCTGGACCTTAGGCCGAGCCCTTGCAGGTTCAGTTCATTCTCTCGCTGGCGAATCTCTCGAGGGGTCTCAGGCTGTGATGGAAGCAGATCCGCGACTGCGAGCCTGTTGGAGCTCGCTACGAACAGGCAAGGCCTTGTTCTAAAGCGCTCCTACTCCCGTGCGTGTGCAAGAACAGAGCGGCGTGCAGTCCTCGAGGCCGTGAAAGCAGGGCCTTGCGAGCAGGATGCAGAAGCTGCTCAGACCACTTCAATGCGCGCGAGAAGCTGCCTCATTTCGGATTTCATGCCAGTCCCCATCGGCCCAATGCCCTTCAGAGAGAGACAGACCTAAGACTGACTTCAGCAAGCACTTCAACGGAAAAAGCATATGAAGTGAAGATCTTTGAAGACTATGCGCGTTGTCAAACCGTCGCCTCAGTGGAAGCACTGAGCCTCGGACCCAACCTTTGGTTCCACTGGTATCTACCCTTAGCGGCAGCACTTGACAAAGCCTTCCTTGTGAGCAAAGTGGGTGGTAAGACGAGGACTCATATTGCTGAATCTGATGGTGATAGTAGCCTGATAAAAATTCAAGCCGCAGACTTTTTCTCAGGCAACCACCAGGCGAGCATTCAATTCTTCTGTGAACATGCGAACATGTAATTACCAGATCGGCAAAGCACATCCTGATGCCACTATGAGAGAAGCTACAGCATCTATCTCGCAACCACTGAGTTCGAGGTCTTGCTGGGGATGGGACGAGCCCAGCCCGTCTCCGAGCTGAAGCACACACCTGTACACTGCGGGTCATTGGCGCACCTTGAGGCAAGCCACATCGTTCTCTGAAGCAGATGCCATGCTGTAACACGCTTTGGCGCCATCTTGCGGCATGATCAATATCCACCATTCGCAGCCACCTCGGCAAACCGAAACTTTGCGACGTCTGGCAGTACATAGGTGAAAAATCTCATAAACTATCGGCCAAAACTGCTTCCGGCTCAGCCTGCTCTCACTCTACGAAGACTGGGAAAACTGCGCACCATCATGCTGCGCTTCGGCAAAGCCCGTTGCTGCGTCAGGCTTATATACTACAAGCGCTTGCCATCGCAAAGTACTGTGTGCATCTGTGTGCCGAACTGATATGGCTCTCCTGCTCCGACCTGGCTGTAAGAATCTTGGTTGTGTTCGCGGTCAAGCAACTTCGAAAAGGCAACCGAAGCGGTTGGATCAGCAGACATTCCAGCCTTGTCAGGGGAGTTATCGAGCTCCCGCCTCGGCAAAGGTCTTTGGGTGAACTGGACACAGGCATAGGCATAGACTTAGAACTCTTCCAAACAAGATCTCAGCATAGGACAGCAAACTCAGTCGGATCCTCTGCCTTACCATGCAGACGTGCATGCCTTTGCAACTCAAGGCAAATTCCGAGTCTCAAGCCCTTCCTCTTCCAGAAACATTTCGGTACCGCGTCTCGGTGCAGTAGCCGAAGTGTTAAAGGCGTCGCAGTCCACATAGAAACTGCTGCGACCGCCGAGCCAAGCCATGATGCCCACAGAGTAGGCATTTGCAAAAACGCACAAGACTTTGCGATACCTCGCGACCTCGCACGAGTTGCTGCTTAGGGCCTAGGGTATGTTGCCTACCGCTTTGCAATGCCGCACAATACACACCCTCTCTCAGCCAAACAGGACCGGTGTGTGGAAAGTCCACTTCACGCAACGACTCCGTGAACATCATCAAGGCGAACACGCCTGCGGCACTCTTGTAGCGAACCCATCCCATCAGTCAGGTTGACCCATGACTGTCTCGAAGCCGCATGGGCGGCATCCGATGGTCTACGCCCGCAGCTGCTTTGCAGCACCTTTGGCGGGACAGATCTCGACATGAAGCAACTGCGGCCGCTACTTGTGGCTGGCCCGACGCTGCTTTCACATCGATTCGACAAAGCTTGCACGCACGTCACTATGATCGAGCTTTTCTGCATTAGCCGGGCTTACAATGCCAGGCAAGCAGGCAGTCGGAAGGTCATCTAATGATGAATCCAGGATTAAGCAGGTCAGCTCAACAGAAAGCATCGAAGCTTCGGCTAATTGGCTCACCATGGTGCTACAATCTACAACAACTCAAGGCCTTGGCTCTGCGACCAACTTGCCCCGGCACGGCATGTCATGTTTGTCTTGGAACTGCATGGCAAAATGAGGAGGCCACATTCAGACGAACCGCAGAATAGGCTCGGCAAAGGTTCTGATTGGGTGCCAGAAGGCGTGAAAGAAGACTGCTGCTCCCTCTGTGGGGACCTCCAAGTTCACAGCTCGAAAACACGAGATGACAGGTGTCTGTTGACAGTTCCAACCAATCAATGGCCTTATGAGCGAACTTCACGGCGCGTGAGCTCGGCTTCACGGGAGTGTCCTTTCAGCAAAAACCCACACAGATCATCGCTTTTTCAAATCGATCTCTCTGTCAAGCGGGCCTTCTCAGAGTTGGCCGTCCCAGGATTTGCAGCTGGGTGTGCCACTGCTGACTCGTGTGTGTCATTGCTTGAATGATGATTGGATTGATTGGGGTTCTGCCTTGGAATTGCCGTCGGTGGTTGCTGGTGCTCAGTCTGGGCTTGGCCGTCCTTGCCGGTTCCCCGGTGCCGTATCAACCGGGTCGGTCGCTGGGGCCTCCACGGCTCATGCTTCTGCCTGCGCTCCTGCGCACAGAGGCCTTCGGAAAAACGCGGCGACAAAGCGCGGCACATGCGACATGCGAGCAGCTCGTGGGCCTTCGTACTTGCCTCGTAATGCGTCCCATGTCAATGAACCATTGCGACCTGTAGCTCCAAGACAAGCAACATCGGGATAGAACGGCGCGGCCAGGTTGCAGACAGTGACACAGACCATCCCCATGTCTTTGCGCACCCAATGGACAAGCAACCACTTGGCAATCGCCTCAAGCTCAGAACACTCGCCGGCCCTCCGGTCTGCTGCTTGCGATGACCAAGCCCGCAATACCAAGGAGGGGGCCATGCCAAACGCGATGTCCCCACGCATCCCAAGACATGTGACCACCAGCCTGGTTGGGACCAGAAAGTGCTAGGACCTACGACCTAGGATGAGCCGATTCCTGCTCTTCTTGCACTCGCTTTCAGAGTCCAACGTAGCCATCGCGGCAGACGCAGGCGAGCCGTTTGTTCACGACACTCAAATCCACCTTGCGATAGACCTAGGGCTGTGGGGTTTCGTAAGACCCGCAACAAGTCTAACAGAGGGCCCTGCAGTGCGAGGAGGACAATGAAAGTAGGGTGAGCACCTGCCGGCCGAGCAAACGTACGGCGAGGCGGATTCTCAAGTTCAGGCTGCACTGCAACACCAGGTGCAGTAGGGCTGCTCCCCAGAGTACATCAGCAGCTCTGCATCCCAGATGATCTGGCTTCCGTTGTACGGTGGCCTTTGCGGATTTTACACATACAGTACCACTGCGACGTCAATGCGACCATCAATTGCAAGGTGAGCGTGGTAAGTTGCCAATGTTGGAATGCTGGGTCTTGCTGACTCTGATGGGGCGTTTCGGTTTTCGCTTGGGCCGTCACATCCATCTCCTCTAAAGGCTGTTGGTGTGCGGCAGGGCTGAGCTCGAAGCTGACAGCGGCACAAGCCGGACCTTACAAGCACTTTCTGACACGCTCAGCCATTGATGTTGCTTCACCAAGAGCCCCGGGCTCATCGATGTCGGCATGGAGTGGGCACACCACGCGCTCGCACTTGCCAAGCATTCGCACCTTTGCAATTCGGATTCACACCACAGGTCCACGAAGACAGCAGCAAGGGGATGCATGCTAGCGTGCACTAGCCGAAATCCAAAAACTGTGCCTCCGGCTTGGGTGGAACCGGAAAGCTTTCCGTGGTGTGCATTAGAAGCGATCATGCGACCTCCTGCGTATCCAGGAGCACAAGGATTTTCGTCCACGCATTGACCTTGCGACATCTGGCATCGAGTGCATGGTAGCCGGTTGATGACCGAGAATGCAAACATTCTGCATGACAGGATATGACAGGCTCTGAGGGCGCTGCCAGAGAAACGACTAGCGTTCGGCTGCCAGATAAACCCTCCAACCTCCGCTGTAGCCACGAAGATTGCAAAAAAAAATCAATAATTCCCTCACCAAGCAGGGCCTGACCAGAACGGCAGCTGCATCTCGGCCGCCGCACGCCGTGATCTAGCCAATCCTCGAGCAACCCAAGCAGTAGTCACCGCTGCAGCATTCAAAAAGCAGACCGATATCTACAAGTATCAAGCTTCCCGTGCTGCAGGGAACAGCAGTCCAAAAACGAGACTTCGGTCAGATTAGAGTCGCATCCATTCCTCTTCTTACTGGAAGCATGCAAAGGCAATGGAATACCAACGCAGCCTGAACAGGTGGCAAAGGAGGTTTTGTCACGAGGTACGGCTCCTTTATCTTCCTAACTTTCTCATCTTCCTGCACTTCCGCGTAGGATCGGCAAAAAGTTTGTAGGAAATACGGCTGGGCTGAAATCTGTGCACGAAAAACCACCTGAGTGGAAACACGGCCCTCGAAGCAACACGAATTTGGGGAGGAGGAACTGGGACGAAAGCCAGACTAGGCACCAGCACAGGCGTGCAGACGTGCATTCAAGAAGAAGCAGCGACGTAGGTTTTTCAGCCGCCACGGCGAGACATGCTGTCGACATGTTCGCATATGTGGGACAGCATCTAGCTTTTCATGCCCTCTCAGGGCACTTTGCTGCTTTTGGCTCTGTTCTTCATCGAACGCGCACACACGGAGAAATGGCCCTTCATCCAGTTGCTATGTCGGCTTTTGCCACTGCCTAACCATCACGATGTTACCTTAGTGATTGTCAAAACCTCAGGTGACCTCAGAACTGACATCAGCTGCACTCTGTACATTGCAGGTACACAATCTGGCGTCCCAGATTGCTTCACGGAGTATCCACAGCCGTCTTCGTTGGCAGCAGAACTGTGGACTCCCTGCTGCCCCCTGCTTCTGTACAGTTCCACAAACCCTTAGCGACGATCAGGGCTCTCACACACACACCCCCCGTTCGGGGGGAAGAATGCCCTCAGTCCTGGGATCTCATCTTGGACGAATCCATAACATGTTGCACCAATGCCAATGTGTTGGGAAAGGACTGCTTCGGACCGTTTCTTTCCTTGACCAATCTGTCACCGTGTTTCCTGAGGAAATCAAGAATGAGTTGGGCTCTGTTCGGAATGTAGAAATCATCGTTTAGGTCTTTGGTCGCATGCAATCGGCGAAGAAACACCTTCTTGTGGCAAGATTTAACGATGAGACGGAATTTCTTAGAGCCATCCAAGTTCTCTCCGAGTCTGGCAAATCGGCGTTTCTTCGCTGCAGGTGGCACTGGTTCCTGAACGATGCTGTCTGACTCCTGAGAGGAGCTGGATGACCGGAAAACCTTGATGAAGCTTCCGCCTTGGTCCTTTCCATCGTTATCTTGTGTCCTTGGGCTGTCAAGTTCTTCTGGTGTGTGGAGGATGCTGTCGGAAGAAAACTGCTCCTCATCTGACAAGGAGACGAGCATGGAATCTGGTTCGCTTCCCGACATGTTGCAACTGCTACAGCTGACCTGAAAGAAATTCACTACAGGAAACTGCTTGTGATGCATGTCTGTC